CGATGGCTCAGAGCCTGGAGCCTGTTTCCGATTCTGTGTCTCCCTCTCTCTCTGCCCCTCCCCCGCTCATGCTCTGTCTCTCTCTGTCCCAAAATAAATAAACGTTGAAAAAAAAAATTAAAAAAAAAAAAAGAAGAAAACAAAAACAAAAACAAAAAAACCCGTGGACACTCACCTGCCCTCCCCACTCCAACCAAACCAGCTCTCTCACAACAAGTTATTCAATGTCAATGTCGAAGAAAAGCTACCTGGTAGCGACAAGTTTCCCCTTTGCCCACCTCTCACCCTCCATCTACATCCAGTCTGCTCTCCAAAGCCCAAGCCTCTTTCCTGCAAGAGACCTCTTTCATTCCTGTTACTAAGCCTTACTTGCTTTCCTCGTTTCTGAAAAAAAAGTAGACCATCTCTAAGGCTGAAGCCAGGGAAAGCTTTAAATGGCAGCTACTATGTCTGGAGCACAGCAAGGAGGGAGCCCAAACACCATCCCACGTCCCCGACCCTCCTGGGTGTAAGGGGAATAATAGTAGGTCCTACGCTTGATGATTTTTTAAAGAATGGTGAACTTCTGTTCAACTGGAGTATGCACGGAAAGGCCGTGGAAAATCCAGAATCGCCTTCAATTAGCTTACATTTTAAGTCTTCACCTGTCCTAAAACACCACGTGAAATTCTGGACACCAAGCTGGTTTGGAAGCTGCACATCATCACTCAGTGGGCCTCTTCATGTACAAGCAGTGTTTTAGAATTCAGTCCTAAGAAAGGCTGGACTTCTCTAAAAGCTTTCCTCATCTTAGATCAGCAGTAGCACTGTTTCCCTTTCCACCTTGACCCACAGGGAGCTCATGAGGGTTGGCCCTGAGGCTTCCTTTTTCCCCCTGGGATCCTGATTTTCTATTTTCACCAAGGCACACGTGTATTTACCTACTTACTTATTTACCCAGGTTGGCTAGATCTTGTTCCTCCACACCTTTCATCTCAGGTCGTCAACTCTGGTCTGACCCTTCGACGTGACTTACGACAAAAACGACATTATCGACTGACCACTGCTATCACCCAAACCTTCGCTGGGGAAAGGGGGGAGCGCTAGCTATTTGAGATCCAGTGCTAAGCAACAGGCAGAAATCACTCACAGGCTGTTTCCACTCCTTCCCCACTAATAGAGAAGACAGGATACTGTCATTTACTGCATACCTGACTTCATGCTGCAACTGCCATACTCCTCGAGGCAAACAAAACCTTGAAGATATTAGCCCCGTGTCTTTGGCCTAAGAAATAAGCCTCAGAAATGTCAAGTCATGTACTGGAAGAAGCATAGTTAAGCGGCAGGCCTAGGATTTGAAAGTAGGATTGACTGAAGTCCACGCCTTTCCTAAAAAGGGAACACTCCTCTGGCCTCGCCTCACCCTTCATGCTTCTTTTCCACCTATGCAGTCATGGATGATGATGGTATTCTGGTCTCCAGGCCATGATTCTACCTTACTGTGCAATTTCCATGCACCGACTCAGTTATTTACCAAGAACCTTCTATACGCCTAGTGTTATACTAAGGCTGCAGGGTTACAGGCCCCAAACTTACTCTCTAGAGGAAGCAGACAGAAGCAAATTAAAGAAAAAAGCAAGATATTTTCAGATAGTGCTCCAAAGAGACTCAAACAGAATTAGGAGAGTCAGAGTGGAGGACCAGGAAGGCCTCAGAGCTGAAATGTGAAAAACAATGCAACACAAGAATGTGGAACATGTGGGGTCCCCGCACTGGAAGTAGAGGTAAGAGCAAAGGAACAAACAAGTTCAAGGAACAGAAAGAAGGCTGGTATGGCTGGAGCATAAAGGGAGAGGAAGCAGAAAAGGAAAGCACGGGCCCGATCATGTGTGGCCTCACGATAAAGAGTTTGGGCTTTAAGCAGCGTGATGAGAATCTGCAGGACATGTGCACGTGTATGTGTAAACACAAACATACTTACCAAACCATTAAACATTTTTTTAAATGTTCATTTATTTTTGAGACAGAGAGAGACAGAGAGCATGAGAGGGGGAGGGGCAGAGAGAGAGGGAGACACAGAATCCAAAGCAGGCTCCAGGCACCGAGCTGTCAGCACAAAGCCCGACATGGGGCTCGAACTCACAAACTCACGACTGAGCCACCCAGGTACCCCACTGTAACCATTTTAAAGTCTACAGTTTGGTTGCATTAAATATATTCACACGGTTGGGGCGCCTGGGTGGCGCAGTCGGTTAAGCGTCCGACTTCAGCCAGGTCACGATCTTACCGTCCGTGAGTTCGAGCCCCGCGTCAGGCTCTGGGCTGATGGCTCGGAGCCTGGAGCCTGTTTCCGATTCTGTGTCTCCCTCTCTCTCTGCCCCTCCCCCGTTCATGCTCTGTCTCTGTCTGTCCCATAAATAAATAAAAAAAACGTTGAAAAAAAAAATATATTCACACGGTTGAGCTGGAAGGGTTTTAAAGCAGGGGAGTAAATGAAGCCATCTGATTTAAGTCTTAGAAAATTCAGAAAGGTATAGTGTGTGCCTAGATCCCCAGAGGTGAAATCCAGAAGTCTGCACCTAGTCCTTAAGATTAATACAGGAGCCATCAGCATTAGCACAAATTATAAGTGAGTTACCAACAAAACAAGAAATGAAAAGCCAATTGTCAATTTGGAGAAGCGGCTGCGGCTCCCATCCCTCAAGGCTTTTGGGTGCTTATGAGCTAGAAGACCCTAGAAGGAAAAGAGAGGATGGAGTTGAGAACCACAAAAAGGCTGTGAGGTACCAGAAATTCTGTAGTTTGTGACTCTCCTAGAAGAAACAGGGTCCGGGGCACCTGGGTGGCTCAGTCAGTTATGCATCCGACTTCGGCTCAGGTCATGATCTCACCATTGGTGGGTTCGAACCCCACGTCAGGCTCTGCACTGACAGCTCAGAGCCTGCTTGGGATTCTGTATCTCCCTTTCTCTCTCCCCCTCTCCCACTTGCACTTGGTCTCTGTCTCTCTCTCTCTCTCTCTCTCAAAAATAAACATTAAAAAAAAAAATGGGGGGGGGGGGGACCACCACCACAAGAGACGTGGTCCAGGTTCCAACAGAAGTGCTTCCAGAATGCCTATAGCAGGCTCCTTCCCTACTGCACACTTCTTACATTCAAGGGAAATCATTTACCCAAGAAAAAAAGAGCCCATCACAACTATTTACATTGTCTTCATGTTTAATCGTATCTGAGACCACTGTGTAAGACCAAAGTGATTTCATGGTTATTAAGAATTTTAGTCAGGGGCACCTGGGTAGCTCGGTCGATTAAGAGTCTAACTCCAGCTCAGGTCACGATCTCGTGGTTCATGGGATGGGGCCCAGCATTGGGTTTTGTGTTGACAACTCAGAGCCTGGAGCCTGATTCGG